TTTAGAACAATTTTTAGGTGTTCTTCTCCTGGATTCGATCTTCCGACCTTTCATACGCTGTACTTCTCCAACTACGCATTTTCCCATTGCACTAAATTGTGCAAAAGGAAACTACGAGTTATGATGAGCCTTTATAACTAGCAGTCGTTAGTAAAAAGTATCCGTCGTACACAGTCGTGTCGACGTTAAAAATAAGGTCGACACTTATGTATAGTATAGCTAGTAACATGTGAGTGATCACTTGTAAAGACTAATTAAATATATAGATAAGTGTACGGCCTTCATACGAATGTATCATCATAACTCGTAGTTTCCTTCTGCACAATTTAGTGCAATGGGAAAATGCGTAGTTGGAGAAGTACAGCGTATGAAAGGTCGGAAGATCAAATCCAGGAGAAGAACACCTAAAAATTGTTCATATGTGATCACCGGATTATTTCATTTAATACCATAAACCACTTGTAACTCACCAATAGTTACTAATTTAAAATGCTTACGAACCCAAAATTTAAACTGAGCTTCACCCCAACCATCTTTTAACCCTTTGAGGGCGGGTTTTCTTTTCTGTATATTTTATCATAAATCAATCAACATTTCTATTTTCTAAAAGAACTTTATAAAAACGTGTGTTCAGAAGTTTTTTAAAGTATGATATAGCTCAAAACAAGGTACAACACATAGACCAACATTACATTCAACACACTCATAAGTTGTTTTAGTTTCTTTCTTTGGAGCTGTTGTTGTATTATAACCGACATGGCACTTTCTTCTCCTTCATCTTTCAGATGTACGTTCAGTTGAATAATCTTGAATGAGTGAGAGAAAGTGTCGAACAGTGAGTCTCATTGGATTTTCTTAAGATGGTCTTCCTTTTTTTTGTTCTTTGGACTTCCGACAGATCCTATAATAGATCGAATCACTTCATATATATATATATATACAAAAACTATGAATGAAAGAAACACTTACGAAAAATTGTGAGAGAGGATGATTCCATCACAGAAAAGAAGCAAAACAGAAAAAAAAACTGTATTTGATAATACAAGTAAGATAATGTCTGTATGTTCGTGCATTTCAACAGAAAGAAAGAAAAGAAAGGTAAATGCAATTCGCATATCTATGACGTCATACCACCACAGTAGAAGAGAAAAGGGAAGAAGCAAATAGAATACGCATGTAGAACATCATCTAACATGTCGCTATATAGAGAGCAACGTTGCTGACAAGGATTATAGATTATAGAGTTTTTTCTCTGAAAGCCAGTTTTGTTATATTTATTATCCATTACTGGATATCTGAATAAAATAACCTAATTACAATCCAAATTATACCAAAAAACTCTCTGATAAATGCTTTAGCAAAAACTATTCTCATATAGAAATCTGTGTGTTTTGAAATACCAGAGAATCACCGTGGCCCCTTAAGGGGCCAACCGTCCCCAAAGGGATTAATATACATGAAACTTTAGTAAATATCATTATTTATACAAACAGATACATGTCAAAAGGAGTTCTACTGAAAGTTCACGGCATATCATTCATTTGTTTTAGGATAGCCACAGTTGTATATCGTCCGCATCTGAATACTCAGTAAGTACAAACAGAACGCTTATCACCATTTGTCTCGTATATTTTGGAACAATACCAGCTTTTGTTGCATAAACTAATTTTGTTGGACTCTGCCACACTGTATCTGTATGAAGGAGGCCAGCATGAGACAGCAAATATTATCATTATTATTAATACTTACCGACAGTAACAACTGTCGAAGTCTGATCTTTCGTCATGAATAATAGTTGAAGAAATACATTATTTCTAATATACAATGAGACGTTATATTTTGTTTTGTTATTATCGATTAAAAGGGTATAATCGCTGATTTGAATTATCTGCGATATCGACGAACCATTTCTACCCGAAAAATAACAGTCGCCTTGCTGATTGACAATGGACGCATTGCTGCTATTGTACATGACTGTTCTCACTTCGCCGTATATGTCGTCCCAGTTGTATACACGGTTATCATTCTTGCAATCTTTTATCTCCGCATCACCATTTTTCACTAAATTTTTCGCCTGAAATGACCCAAATGTCCCATTTGGAAGTCTCGTTCCAGAAGTTATACTAGTTTTCAACTGTTCATCGGTGATAAGAGCTTTCTCTAGATCGGCATTAGTAAAATCAACGGCGTAAACTTCTGCTCCTGTAAAATCTGCTGAACGTAATCTGGCACTATTAAAGTTTGTTTTACGAAAGAATGTTTTATAAAAATTAGCGTGCTCTAGCGATGTATGAATAAATGTAGAATCTCGTAATGTCGAAATAGTCAATGAGACTTGATTCATCACAGAATTACTGAAATCTGATTTATCAAGGTTACAATCGGTAAATGATGTGTTTATCAAATACGCATTTGTTAATTTTAAACGATAGAAGTTTGATGCTAATATCTTGCCGTTCGAATCGATATTAAAATTGATATTATTAAAATCTCCATTTTTTAGTGATAGATGAGCATTGTTGGTACTCGAAAGTAGACCACTTTCATATAAAAACAAGAATAAATGTTTTTTTCTTTCGTAATCTAATTTACGCAAAGCTGTCAAAGTTTTTGTGCTAATATAAGATAATTCACGATTCGTGACTGTATCATTATGAGATTCTAAAAGTAGTTTAGAAATATCATCAATGTATTTTGAAAATATTGATTCTTTTTGTAAATCATCCGCTTGTTGTTTATCCTGATCACGTTGACGATTAGCTATTTGTTGTTGTTGAATTGTTGTTACTACTGTGAATACGCCTATCATAAGCGGAATCAAAGTCGATGCCAGTATTTTTAACCAATCTTTTAACGATACTGCTTTGTAACAACTACCCCTGCTTCCTTCTCCTGCTTGGTTTTTGATCGAATTCTGTTGATGGCAATGCTCATGGGTTCGTATCCAATATGGCTTTTCTTGAATACAGGTTGGATGTAATCGATGTGGCAGTGATGTACAACGCTGTTGTCGTGCGATCATGATATGAGATGCTGGATGCCCCCAGATAATGATTCAGCGAACAAGCCTATGGATTACTTAGTGATTTACTTCTTTTAAACCGACAAGATTATTTAAAAGCTTATTCTATTCTCGTTTAATAGTCAACAGAGTAATAAACGCAAGATTGACAATATTCAGAGTGATTAGTGAAAGCTCGCGTTCTGACCTTTTTGTGTTCAGTGTATAGAACCGTTTACAGCAATGACGTGACTTAGTGGCTTTGCCAGCCAACCACTATAAAGATTAACGAGAGGGGAATTTCCTGGTATATAATTAATCACTGAGTTTCTTTCTCCTCGAAAGTTTGTATGGTAAAATTTTATTGATTTTTTTCACGCTGATCAAAATATCAATACGACAACAAACTAAAATTGAATGTTCAGTTCGAAACTTTAAATTAATGAGTTTTAACTTCTTTTATTCTATATCCTACGTTGTAGAGCTTCACCAGTGCTATAAACTCCACTTAGAACTATCTATGGTCAACTCTCTGCTGATAGTGAAAAACTGAGACTGAAAGCATGACAAAACATTTTTGGTAGTATCTGGCCTATATCTCGCCAAACAAGTATTTTTCATTCAGAGTGTTCTATAGCAGTATTGTACGGCTTGTCCAAGCGTGACGCTATGACATTTTTGACACAGTAATTTGAGCTTTTCTCGAAAAGTGTAAGAGCTAGAAACTTAGTTCTTGCGACAGTCGACGCAGCTCGCCATACTCTACTTTTGGTCTAAAATAAAGGCATGTGGTTAAAGACTCAAATTTTTAAAACCGCTTTTCGGCGCGCGACGCTGTGACAAAAAGGGCCCTAAACTCGAAGTTCTGCTCATTAAAAGCTAATTTACTGCGAATTTACAAGAGCTAATAAAAATTACCGCGAGCAAAGTTTGTAGAGGAGTAAACGAGCTACGGATTGCTAAAAAAGAATCTTTCCAAAGAGCTTTCCATCCCTCAATAGTTGTGTTTTATCGTCGTGACGCTGTGACACACTTTTTTCTCAACAAAGTTTGGTGCACTAAACATTGCTCAATGGGTTTCATTTTCACATCGGACTTAGTTTTGGGCATTTAATATAGCCTAACCTGAAAATAAAGCTGAAAAAGTGTTTTCACTTTCTTAAAATTGTGTGAGAATCTTAAGAGTTAAAACTTTGTTAAGAAGCTTGTTTTGCGTCTAAACTTCAAAAGAAACATACCATCTTACAGAGAATCGAATTCTCTATCGATTATTGTGGCCTTCCATTTTTATTAGGAAAAGTGTATAGATGAGGAAATTGAAAATACAGTTTTCAAAACATGTAAAACTGGATTTCTGGTGGTAAAAGTTAAATTTTTTTCAAAAAATAATGTAAGATTCGTAATTAGCACCAAAACTGCATCTATCAATATGCTCCTTTCAATTCTACTCTAAAATAATTTTTTCAAAAACTTAATCAGCGAAGTCTCGAGTTAGCTGGACAAGCCATGTAGGTCTCATCAAGACTTATCAATTGCACTGTAACACGTCTCCAGTCATAGTCAAGTTGACTTAGAAAATGTTACGTATTACTAGAGTTCCGAGTTTTTATGATTATTTTCTTGATGGTGGCTTTTTTCATAGTATTTGAGAGATATAACTCAAAGATTCATACTGTTTCATGTTTAGCTTGATCATCTTTAGCATTTTGCAAGGAAAAGCTTTTCTCAGAAATGTTTTCTTGCTGAGATATTCGCTGGTTTTCGGACTGCATGTATAACTGACATGAAAAAGTGTTGTTCAACTTACTGTTTGAAAAGTAAACTTTTCTCAGCTAAGTAGTGGTGGTAACTATAGTGGAGTATCATTCTCTGTTAAAATCGAGAGGGTCGATTCTGTTACATGTTATATATCCTTTCATACATTTGACCAAACCATTAATCAACATTTTAATGTGAAAGATGACTTACTTTCGGCCAGATGTCAAGTGTAGAACACTAAATATGTGCAACCTAATATTTCTATAAATGAGTGTTGGGTGTATGCGTGAACAGAAACAGTTATGCTGATGAAATATGATAACTATATTTATTAATAATAAGAGATTAAATATTTACCAAAAAAGTTATTTTCGAGCAAATATTAAACCGTCACTATTCTTTTTAATTTGCGTCTGTTATCTGACACACATCACTTATGATTGCTTAATTTGTTGATTCAGTATACCCGACATTTGAGATTACCCGCCATAACAATATCAATTTCTACTGCTCATTTCTTTTGAAATGATGGTTAGTCAGAAAACTGCAAATAAATCACGAAATGTTTTACAACTATTACTCAATAAAAATAGACAGGAAATTAATAAAGACTTTGCAACAATTATAGATCAATTGAAAAAACTAACAAATGATAATTGTTCAAAAGAGAATTTAACAATATATATGAGTAAATTAAGAGAAGTAGAAATGAAAGTTCCAAATGATTTTGAACAAGAGATTAACTCTTTGAGGACGGGTTTTCTTTTCTGTATATTTTATCATAAATCAATCAACATTTCTATTTTCTAAAAGAACTTTATAAAAATGTGTGTTCAGAAGTTTTTCAAAGTATGATAATTCATTTGTAGCTGAAAGTGACAACACTCATTTTTTCAGATATTACTACTGCAGAGTGATGTTTTCGGCATCGACGGATAGGCTCGATCCGTATAAAACCTACCACCATTTACATCGACCTTTGACGTCAGTGGTAAGACCTGCATCGTATTAAAGAGCTCAGCAAGCTGAAGTGAACGGTAAAAACCGCAAGTCTCGAATTGTTTGCTGAATTTTTGATCTGTATCGTATTTTCTATGGCACTTTCACACAACATCGTAGAAAAATGGCCAACATCTCATTTCGTGAAGAATTGAAGGGACTATCGAATAATATCGATGAAAAGCTTCTGAAAGATATTTTAAGCTCACTAGATTTTCTGGAAAACGGGGTTGTTCAGAAATCTCTTAATCACGGCCCTGAGGTCTAGCATAAGTTTTCTTCATCGAAATATACAGAACTCGATGCGCTGTTTCATTTGATACCAAGTTCAAGTTTCTACGTTAAGGAATGTGGTCAGCAGACGTTCTCAAAATTAGGCCAGATCCGCCAGAAAATGCATTTTTTCGCTGCGAGAGTAAAATGCCTATAACTTTTTTTCTAACTAGGCTAGAGACTTGCGGGTTTTACCGTTCACTTCAGCTTGCTGAGCTCTATAATAGGATACAGGTCTTGCCACTGACGTCAAAGGTCGATGTAAATGGTGGTAGGTTTTATACGGGTCGAACCTATCCGTCGATGCCGAAAACATCACTCTGCAGTAGTAATATCCGAAAAAATGATGTTCGCACTTTCAGCTACAAATGAATTACCAGCCACTTTGTCAAGTGTTGAAAAAGCTTTCTTTTGACATATAATGTAGACCGCAACCTAAGTTCTTTCAAGATAAACACACAGAAGCATTATCCATCAGTATACTTGTCCCTTTAGTAGTAAAATCCCAAAAAGTGAGTGTTCGCACTTTCACCTAGAAATGAATCACCAGCCATTTTGTAGAGTTTCAAAAGAGCTTTCCTTTGATATATAATACAGACCACAACCTAGGTTCTTTCGTGGTAAAAGGAACAGAAATACTATCATGCACTATGCTGAAAAGCTCATTTTTAACAGTAATATTGCAAAAACATCGGTGTTCGCAGTATCGATTAGAAAAGAATTACATAGAATTTTCTAGAGTTTTGAAAGAGCTTTCTTTTGATATATAATGTAGACCACAACCTAGGCTGTTTCATGATAAAAACACAAACATTATCCATCAGTATGCTTGAAAACATCACACTTCAGTAGTAAAATCCCAAAAAGTGAGTGTTTCCACTTTCACCTAGAAATGAATCACCAGCCATTTTGTAGAGTTTCGAAGGAGCTTTCCTTGGATATATAACACAGACCGCAATGTAAGTTCTCTGATGGTGAAAGAACAGAAATACTATAGTGGACTATGCTGAAAAGGTCATTTTTAACAGTAATATTGCAAAAACGTGAATGTTCGCAGTGTACATAATAAGTGAGCAATAGATAGTTTTGTTCGCCGTTTAAAGCTGCATCGAATGGTATATAAGACTTTCCTTCAAACTTGTTGTATTCTGAGAAAATTCCGAAAACGGCCTCGGAATGAGCTCGCGGAGCTATTGTTCAAAGCTGATCGATTTTCTGACAGATATGAGGTCCGAAGGGGAACCAAAGGTGTAGAACTCTATAAAACTGTACGCCCTTTCATTCTAGATACCTTTCGGGATGATCTGAAATGGGGCCAATCCTCGTTCTTATAGCACCCCGTCCGTTGCCGCTTAAAGATTCGTAGGCTCATCAAGTTTCAAATAAAATAGCTCCATTTCATATTATATTATATTATCTTTTTTCTTTGGTACTATTATGAGAAGCTTAGGTTAAGCATTAAAACTTTTTCTACTTTCTTTCTTTTCTTTCTACATATCATCCGTCTAGTGCAACTTAAAATCGCCGCTTATTTTAATTTCTCCTAGTAGAAAATGAAATTTTAATTTCAACTAGTAGAATTTTAATTTCTACTGCGACATATACGTCTTATTTGCATAAACTTACTGTATCTATTGGCTCTATGTACACGCAAGTACATCCTGAATAGAGAAGAGGAGAAAAGAAACATGTGGATATCTTTTCTGCACGAAATCTATATTTCGTTAATACTTTTATATTTTGTTGTATAGCTTAAATAGAGTTCTAGGGGATATACGTCTATATAACCCTTATAGGTCTGTATGACCCATATAGGTTTATATGACCTTATAACCTTAACGCGATATGATAAAAGTGTATCATTTTGAGTAGAGAAAGGTGGCCCGAAATATAATGGTGAAAAAATTAATTAATTTTCTTGTAAACTGATTGTATTCGGTTGAATGAGTTATAGTTGCTTCGTTCTTAATAAGTATATATCTCGTAATAAG